AGAAGATCATTTCTATTTAGTTCCTTGTTTGTTTTTGAGAATTGAAAGCAACTTGAATTTTGGGTTTTATTTAGAAGTATATGGTCAGGCTCAGGAGCATTAGGAAATCTCATGAAAATAAACATACTTCCAAATTCCAGTGGAATGACCCATACGCTTCAAGCTGTACTCAGCAAAGTCCAGTGATTGTACTTGAATCTAGCTATCCCTATCTTACTGAACTTTGTCATAGCAAAATTAGACTTTCATGTTGCTCTTGCCTCAAGAACATAAAAGCAAAAGACTTTATGTCTTCCAGAGTAACCTTCATCAGAATTTTCTCCAACCTACAGAATGATCAGCTAATCAATAAATGCTTACCGAATAATTCCGTTGTGTCCAGCCACCTGTATACCACAGTGATAAACCCTCACATTGTTTCTGAAACTATCTTGGTGACCTGTCATTCTAAAAGCCTTCCTTCCTTCCCTGAAACCATTTTTTGGCAACTTTTCCTGAGGATTTCACAGTCAACGAATCAAGAAAAATTATTATGTTTATTTTCATAATAGTTCTTCCCCAACAGCCTGAGTCTCAAAATAATATCTCAAATTCTAGTGTTTCAAAGAGGAAAAAACTGTCTAGTCTATTTTATATCTAATAAATATAGTCCGATCATTAATAGATTTTAAGACTGTGAAAGCTGATGGAACTTTCCAGGAAGGTGTACACACTTACATGCATTACCAGTACTGCTAACTGAGTGAAAGGTTTTTCTCAACCTCTGCTATTTGCAGCGAAAAAGAAAATCTCTTATGAAAGTTACCAGAAAGGAAAATTTAAAAAAAAAATTTTATACATCTATGACATAGAAAGAAGAGCGGGTAAATTGTGGGCAGGAAGTCATAAAATGAGTTTACAGTAAAAGATGTGCTTTTTAGGGACTATTTGGTTTAGACAGCCTAGAGAGGCAGACTTTGTTTTTACATTAATTTCCTAGGTTTTTATGTTGAAACTCTTGTACATGACCTGAATTATAAAAAGATAGTGTGTCCTTTGAATTAGAACAGTTTTCAGGCCCTTGCAGGGCAGTGCTTTGGTTGGAATGTCTCTCTAGAAATCCTAAAGGGCTCTCTGACATCACCCTGCTTCTTTAGTATGTTAGGATGTTCTCATGGGGAGGAGAGGAGCAAGAGCATAGGAGCTGGGGAGTTTTTCACATGATTTGGCCTTGCTTCAAAGTTTCCTCAGGGCAGCTAGTTGGCCGATAGGGAGGTAGTTATGAGTAATGGTTAGCATATTTTGGCCCTTTTTCAGGCCCCAAACTGTATAGTAAGTGAGGCTTACCTTGGAGATATTGCAGGTTTGGTTCCAGACCAGCACAATAAAGCAACGATTGCAATAAAGCGAGTCATATGAATTTTTTTGATTTCCCATGCATGTAAAAGTTACATTTACACTATACTGCTGTCTATTAAGTGTTCAATAGCATTATGTCTAAAAAAGCAATGTAAGTGCCATAATTTAAAAAGACTTTATTGCTAAAAATAAAAATGCTAACCATCACTGGAACCTTCAGCGAGTTGTAATCTTTGTGCCCATGGAGGATCTTGCTTTGCCGTTGATGTTAATGCGGTCATCAAGTGCAATAAAATGAGGTAGTGGCCTTAGCACCTCCACTAAGTTCACACTTGCTATATATGTTTCTAGTACTTGCTCATTCTGTTCATCTCCACATTTATTGAGGGGCCCCACTAGGCATTGGAGCTATAGAAAGGTAAGAGAAGATGGTCCTGTGCGGTATAGATGAGATGAACAGTAAGATAAGGCCAACATGGTACATGTAGGTTGACACCAAATGGAGAAGGATTTTGATAAAGTTTGCTCACCCCTCTTTAGCATAGAATCTGCCATTTTTCATCTTGGAGAAGATCTTTCTGAGCACTCTCACTCTGGCTGTGCTTTATTTGTGGATAGTTCTTGAGGCCACACAGAAGCATCCAAGCTGTGATCTCTGGTTATTGGCAGGTGTTCCATTGCTCCTCCATGCTCAGAAAGCATATTGAAGAAGCACAAGTACCCACTTACTGCCCAAGTTAACTGATAATGTTGCCTTTTCTTCAGTGATATCTAATTTATGCAATTAACCATCCTGGGAAAAGCATCACAGAATTTGAGTTATGGTTCCCAGTGACTCGTGAGTTCATCATCATGATAATCCTTACAGACACCATGGTATTTCCTGTGGAGCATCTGATAC